ACTCATGGAGTGTCCCCCTTCAGGAAGGGATGGAATGCCCTCCCATTTACTTTTGTCAAAGGACGAATAAAAGCTTTAAACTGTCCAACTAATCTTATTATCTCTTTTACGACTGTAGAACCCCAAAAGGAAAAAAGCCTAGAGAAAATATGCTTAGCAAATAATTTACAAACAGAAAACAGAAAGTCATCAACACCACAAGCTCCAAAATGAAGCAGTAACATGTGCTCCAATACTATGAAGCAAAGTATTCTCCAATCGTGGCTGCATTAGTGTCCATCTGCACCAGCACCCTTGGCAGTTTCGAAATACCTTAATGCTCCTCAAGAATGAGCAAGGAATCCCTTCTACAATGAGTCCCATCACCCACACCGCCCCCACCCATTTTCTCCATGATTCTGATTCTGACACTCTTCTCCCTTGTTTGTCTAGGTGTGCCCTGGAAACCCAGGTAGCATTTAGTCCCTAAATTTGTGAATGTCATTGAACAGCCTGTAGAAGGGAAATGCTGCTTCATTGGCATGCGGGCAGTTGTAGTTGCATTTGCAGGACTGGATCATCATGACGTTCTTGGAAAATGTCTCCCCATCTTCGCAGCGGAACCGCATCTTCACAGTCCTGGTCAGCTGGGGCGTGCAGCATCGGCCGTCCACGCAGGAACCGCAGTACTTCGGCCGGTATTTCTTCACACTCGAACATCCAGCGTAAGTAAACCTAACTGATTCGGGGGATTTCTTGGTCTTGCTGCATTTCTTGCCCTTCTGTAAGAGCCAGGAGAGAAGAAAAGTTAGGGGTGATATTTCTCTTTCTTCAAAAAGAGATTCACAACCCACCCCCCTGCCAGGCAACAGTCTACACATCCCTGAAGGAACTTACTTTCAGGCTGCTGTACACTGGCTGTCCACAAGGCCGCACCTCACAAATCCGAGTTTCTTTCACAAGGCGGCACTCGGGGTTGTCATTGGTAACTCGTGTGGAGATACCAGTTCCACAGGTCTTTGAGCACTGGGACCATGAAGTTGTTTGAACAATACATTTCTGGCCATGTAAAGGGTTGTATAGGATGCGAGGCTCCATTCCAAAAACTAGAGAGAGAAATAAGAGGGAAGACTTCTCAGAGGCATACCCACACAAACAGGCTCAAGTACTCATTTCTACAAAGCTTCAGACCAAAAATGCATCTCAGTACAGTGTCTGAAGGGCTCAGACTCCACTTACCAGGGAGCCGCTTCAGTGAGCTGCCTTTTCCAACTGCAATCAATTCATTGTTTCTCGTCAACTCCACCTCGGAGGCATCGAATCCCAGCTCCTTGCCAAGGAGGCCGTCCTGGTCGTCCATGGGGTCCTTGACACTATCCTCGTCACAGACCCACTCCTCGCAGCACTGCCCGGTAACTTTGACCAGCCGGGGGTTGGGACAGCCCAAGTTGGGGAGAGACAGTTCTTGGGGACACAGAGGAATGCAGCCCACGGCGCCATCAATACATGTGCACTGATGTTTACAGTTGGGCTGGAAACTTTCCCCGTTTTGGTAGATTCTGGAGTTATATTCACAGGGTCTGCCCTCTGACTGAGCTGCAAAGATCACCAAAAGAGAAAGGTAGAAGGGGATAAAGTTAAGATTACAAACCACGGCCTGAAACTCATACATATTTTCTGCTGTTAAATTCAATTTATGGTAAAGTTCCCTACAATTCCCCGGAGACTCTAGACCAGAACAATAAGTTAGTCAGGAATCACTTTTCCGTATGCGCTTTCGTTGGGCCCAGACACACTGAATTGCATTCCAGACTGCTGAAATCATGTGCCTTTCTGCCAAGCTACCAACAACAAAGCATCACCATACATGGTCTCAAAATTACTAAACTTCTGGACTATGGGGACTAGTATTTTTTTTTAAAGGGGCCAAACCACAAGCATCTTACCTCTGCAGATCCCCTTCAGAGCGGTGGAGCTGGCGCCGAAGTTGCATTCCAGCCCCTTGGTGTGGTCGCAGGGCTGCGTTTTGCTGCAGTCCTCGTTGAGCTGCTTGGCGCAGACCTTACAGCAGCCGCAGCCATCCCGGACCAGCCCAACTCCCGGCGCGCACTTGGGCGCCTCCAGGGGGCAGTGGCAGGCGGCGGGGCAGGTGGAGAGTGCCTGGAAGGGGGAGAAGAAACGCGTGAAACTCGGCGCGGTGCGCAAGAGGGGCGCCGCGGCTGCTGCAGGGGAGGACGGAGGTCTCCGACCCTCTCGACAGGGAGCCTCTGACTTCGTCCAGCCGGGCCACAGCGGGAGGCTGCTCCCACCAAGAGGTCCCGACAAGTCTTTGGGGAGAGGAGGAGAGTGCTTAAAGAAACGGCTACCCGCAAACGACCGCGAACTTTTTATTTTGTTTTCCTGCTGTGGGCAATCTGGGACCAGGAAAAGGGACTGACAGCGGACGGGGAATCGGTGGCAAAAGGAGAGTCCAACTCACCAGTCTGGTCAGGTGGAGAAGGGTGACGGCGAAGGCGAGCGCCCTGGCGATGCGGGAGCTCATTGTGGCGCGCAGGAGTAGCCCGGGGCGAGCGCGGCAACGAAGACGCCAACAAGCTGGTGCGCAGCTGCCAGGCCGTACGCAGCGGGGTCGGGGTGGCGGCGCGGTGGACCCGGTGGGCAGGGAGGCGAGGGCTGGGCGGCGGGCGGGCGTCTTTCGCTCGAGGTCCCGGCGGAGAAGACGCGGAGGGCGCGGACGCTGCTCAGGGGCGCTCTCTCTCGCGGTCTGCCCAGGCGCCCCGGAGCCCGCCTTTTATATGGGCCGGCGGAGGCGCCGCGTGTTGCAGTGACGTCGGCTCTGTCTGCGCGTTCCAGAATTCTCAAACATCTCAGGAATGCTGGTTGGCGCGGGCTGCTGCCAAGCGCCTCCCCTGGCTCCATTGCACCTTTGTGTGTGTGTGTGTGTGTGTGTGTGTGTCCCGTCAAGAAAACAGTTCGTTTTTTTCACCTTAAATTACTTCTGTTAGGAAGGGTTCTTCGGGGTGTGATGGTGGTGATGGTGGTTGGAGGGTCGCGAGGGGAGAGGGGGTCCAGTTCAGAACTTTGCCTGGACTGGGTGGGTGGGAGGACCTGAGAGGGAGGAACAAAAGTCGTTTTGTTTGGTGATGCGAGTTGACCGGGCACGGAAACCCTCACCCGGGAAGGCGGTGAGCTGTTTGCTTGTTTACAGCGAAGGTGAGAGACAAGTTATCTGTTGAAAGAGTAGAACGTGGAAGAGGAGTGTGTCTCCGAGCCAGTAATATTTGTGGATTTCAAAGAGGCGTGTTCAGAACAAGTCCCAAAGCTTTGGCATGATGTTTATTAGCAAAATTCAGTGAATTGCAAATTAATACCCACAGTGGCATTTATGAATGAAAAGGCGAGGGGGGTGCGGGGGGGAAACTTCCCCATCGTCTGGCAAATTCCCAGGCAGAGGTCTCCCCCACTCCTCCAGCCCTCCCCTTTTTTGGATATGTTGTACTTGTTTGTTTTTGGAGGTTCCCACTTTAGTTCCAGCCCACTGCCTGGGTTGGAAGTCCGAGAGGAAACGAACGCGGGGAGTTCTCCGGGAGGCTGACTTATACTTCCTCACGGATACAGGAGACTGGGTAAGCCCTGCCCGCCTGCTTCCGCGGGCAGGAGGCTATGCTAATCAAGCAGCCAGCCAGAAGTGCAGGGGACCACCGTGGAGTGCCTTGGCCTGAAATCATCACCTGCAAAGACCGCAAGGCCAAACCAGATTCCAGTACCATTATGCCCTATGAATCTCTGGGAAAAGCAGATTCCTTCAAGCTGGACGTTTTGTGGGGTTTTTCACTCCTTTCCTAGGGACCACTGGAAGCCTCCCATTTTAAATGAATTGCAATGCCTTTCTTTCCAAGTACAGAAAAGAGATTTAGGATGTAATATTTTGTAGTAAAAATGTCAGCAGATTTTAAGATCCTGTTCTACCTGCAATACACTCAGTAGAAGACCCCACCACAAGACAATTTACTTGAACATCACCAATACCGTTAGTGTGATTGATAAACTTTCCCTGCAGGTTTCAAAAACTTTTTGCATAATTTTAATAAAAATGATGTTAGACTCATATGCTCTAGGATAACTACTTATCCTTTTTAATGTTTAGGGCTGTTCAGACTTCATAATTTAGCAGTCTTGTTTAAAAAGGCCCTTAGTGCTAATGCTAACTTTCCTGATAAGCACAATGAGAAGCTGTCAGGATGAAAACACACTCCAGTGAAGAGAGCCCTTGCAGGAAGGAGTTCAGTTTCATTCATTCCAAAGTGCCCTTTCATAAATGGAAGCAGCATTTGCTAGAGGGAGTGGGATTTCTAAAACTCTGATGAAGGATTAGGGTTGGAAGACTTTTCAAGACAATGGATTGTCAGGTGTTATGCAAATACAGTGAGGAAAGTCTGGGCCCAACATGTACACAGGTTAATACATCAATTATTATTTACAAAACATTGTTTTTTCTGCCTTATCATTTCATTATTGTTTTCTTCTTAATGAAGTGATTGCGGGACGGGAGGGGGAAGGAGGGGTGTAGCCACAGTACGTGTTGAACAGAGGGAGATGGTAGAGAGAGAATGGAGAGGAGGGTTCCTGGCTTCTGTTGTGGCGTCTTTTCTATTTGACTTCATGGTTGTAAGTATTTCCAGATGGTGAATCAGACACCAGACGTAACAATATTTCCATATTTGGGTATAGCAGTAGCCTGCGTTTTTAACATTTTTCTGCCTCTGTTATCCAACCACAAAGCATTCTTGACAGCTTCAAATGTTGTTAAATATAGATTTAACTTCTCTTCCCAGAGCAGGAAATTCTTTGGAATTCCTTGTTTTTCACGCAATCTATCATGATTTAAAATAAAAGCACAGTGGATCATCCAACTGGCCGTATATACCTTAATTGGAGGTTGGGGATGGGGGACGGCAGAGATCCAGTCTGCCGCACTGCGTTCAAACACAAGCCATTCCAGAGATTCCTTTAAAGTCACATTAAAATTTTCTAACAAGGGTGTGTGGGTTTGTTTCTGGACTTCAACTGGGGAATCTTGAGGATGAGTTTGCCCCAGAGGAGAAATTTAGAGAACCTTACCGTCAGCTGCCCATTTAAAGCAGGGGGTGTGTTGTGCGATGGGGGTGGGAGGTTGGAGCAACAGGGCCAGGAGGTGTGGGAGCGGGAGACACTAGAGTACCCTATGTGCACAGTCTCTCCATATACCATGTGCTGGTGCGCCTGCTAGTAATCGACGACATTAGGCAAGAGAAACAGCGGCTCCTCAAGTCCTGCCCAAAGACCGTCCAGAAACCCAAGCCTCCGGTCGCCTTCTCGCCGCCTCCGCTGGGAGTTGCAGATCAGTTCAAGTTGACGGACAGGAGGCGAAATGTGCAAATGTTTATGGGTAAGTGTTGCTTCGGGTGCTAATTCTGTATGGCTCTTTTGCTACTTTCTCCTTCACCCTCCCCATACGGGTGCCCCAGGAGGAAATAAACGGGCTACTTTGTTTCCTTGGGTTGCAATCCACGGAGAACGGGCTGCTTGTCTTCTGCAGCTCCTGGCTTCGGGCTGAGCGATGGGGACGTCTCTCACCCGCTGTTGCCAGGGAATTTTAGGTTACCTAATGAAGGGCTCACTGTCTGGCGGCAACCGAGAATAATAACGGTAAATCTGGCGACTCCGGTTTCCTAGCCCTAGGAAGGCTCTCAGACTAGAGTGCATCAGAGTCACCTGGAGGGCTAGTTAATGGTTCCTGGGTCCTACCCCAGAATAGTTACATTTCTAACAAGTCCCGAGGTGATGGTGATGATGCTGGTCCGGAGATTACACCCTGAGAACCACTGCCCTGGACGACCGGAGTGCCTGTAGTAGGGGTGTGTGTGTGTGTCTTCAGAGATACTCGCCTGCACACCCAATCTCACAACTTCACTCTTCATAGCCACCTTAATGAATAGAACTTATGGTGTCTGCAAAAGACCAGGTTTAAAGTGGCGCCCCCGTACCATCACATTTCTCTCCTCCACCCTTTCCCCGCCCCCATCCCCTTGGCATGATAGCCAGGAGCTCCCCAGGAAGCTAGGATCCTGGTGGCGGCCGCAGGAACTGGGTGGCCGACGCGCGGAGAGGGCGGTCGGCTCCGGAACCCCTGCGAAGGGAGCGGACAGGGTCTGCACGGCGGGAGGGCGCCGGACCCGAGGCATCCGGACGCGCCTGCCCGGCTGCTACCGCCGCCCCCTGCCGGCCACCCCGCCCGCGCGCCCACAGTCACAGCGGTTGCCAGGACTCGAGGTTTCCGGCGGCGCGCGGCGCAGGACGCTTCCAACCCCGGCCCATATTTGGTGAAAGTCTTTCAAGACTCCGTCATCCAGCTTTGGGGGGCGGTGGCGACGGCGGCGGCGGTCCTGCGACCGGGCCGGGCAGCCTTGCGACTGCCGCGTTCCTGAAAAGTGCACCGCGGCCGCCAGCGCCCAGGCTTCCCTCCGCGCGGGACCCCGGAGTGTTGCGGGCGGCGGGGTAGACCCGCGCATTTCGACCCCAGTCCGCCCCTCTGAGGACCGAAGTCCGCCCTGCGCTGCGTGGGAGGCTGGCGCGGAGGGCGCCGAAGCCCAATTGTGTCACTTTTCCCGTCCACCCCACTGTTGACTCGTCCTCCCAGCGGGGCAGCGAGTTGCCGTGCTGTGCCAGACATAGAGGGTGCGCCCGGCGCGAGGGTGTGGGGCTGTGTGTGTGTGTGGAGGAGGCTGTTCGGAGGATGGCGTTTGCGTGGACACCAAGCGCACCCGAGAGCGGGACGTGGAACCGACTCTGAGGAAAAGCCCCGAAGGGCCTGGATGCCATTATTCCCAGAAGGGACACATGGTAGAGCTGGCTCTTCGGTTTCTCCTGGCCTCCCACAACCCCTTCCCCTCTTCCTCCTCGAGAAGTTCCGCCTGTGGGGAGCCCTGGATAGGAAGTCCTGACTCTGCCATCAGTAGCCTGTGGCCTTGGGGATGCTGCCCATCCTCTCGGGACCTTGCCTGCTTCTCAGTAAATTGGGAAAGGAGGCAGCAAGTAGTAAAGCCAGAGCAGCTGCTTTCAGGGCCAAATTTCATGTCATCCCCTCTAATAATGACAGAAATTAACACATTATATAGGGTTCACATAGGTTGGGGCACCACTTTAAAATGCTGTCTATATATTGATTCGTTTAATTCTCAGATGCCCCACTGAAGCAGGTCCTTTTGGTGACACCATTTTCTATCTAAATGAAGAAATGGAGGCATGGAAGGTAAGCGACTAGCCAAAGGTGACTCACCTAGCCCGCAGCGAAACCGGATTTGGACCCAGATCATAAGGTCCCATACTTAACCACTGTGCTATACTGCCTGCTCTCTATCCCTTACCTCAGACATTCAGGCCCATACCCCTCTCCTGGAAATTTACCTTTATTTAACTTTATCACAGCTTATCCAAATAGTCTAGGTGAAATGCATCAGATATAAAAAATAGTTGATAAGTTAACTGAAGCTGTGCTAACTCCTGAGAATTGCCTAATGTACTGGCTCTTAGGAAGGAGGGAGAAAAGGAGTGTTGTGTTTTAACAGAAAAGGTCTTAATGCATATACATTTATGGAGTGATTTTTAAGCACCTTGGCAGGCTGGTAGGGAAGATACTTAGGACCTCTGGGGTTCTTTTGACACCTCATAAGCCACATTGTTCAGGCAATCCCTACTTCTGGAATAAGGCTTGGCCTGGGGGGAATTGAATTTGTCACTGAGATAAAGGTTTCAGCATCACTTACTTGATGGTTCGTCAGTCTGGGTGTTCATTGTGGACCCAGTCTGTTTTTGTTGTTGGGTTATTTTTTGAAACATGGTCTAGCTCTGTCACCCAGGCTAGAGTGCAGTGGCATGATCTAGGCTCACCATAGCCTTGACCCCCTGGGATCTTGACCTCAGCCTCCTGAGTAGCTGGGACTACAGGCACACGCCACCACACCCAGCTAATTTTTGTAGAGATGGGGTCTCCCCATGTTGCTCAGGCTGGTTTTAAACTCCTGGGCTCAAGTGTTCCATCCATCTCAGCCTCCCCAAGTGCAGGAATTGCAGGTGTGAGCTACTGCACCAGGCTCCCCATCTGTTTTTAACCTGTTTTCTCCCCACCTATGTTATAATTACTCATATATATATGTGTGTGTATGTGTGTGTCTGTGTATGTGTGTGTGTGTGTGTGTATAATAGAGGTGGAGTTTCACCATGTTGGCCAGGCTGGTCTCGAATTTCTGGCCTCAAGTGATCCACCCGCCTCGGCCTCCCAAAGTGCTGGGATTACAGGCATGAGCCATAGTGCCTGGCCTAATTACCCATATATTTGAGGTCAGTTTGTTTACCCTTCTCTGAATCCCAGACTTATTCAGAGCCTGTGATGTGTCATGGCACAGTGCTAGGTACTGGTGACATGAAAAAGAGGATTTTAATATTGCACATCCCCTGGACGACTCTAAGGCATATTGCAGAAGTGGGTACATAAATGCTGTGTGGATACTTCACTGCCTGAGAGGAGTTAGGGGGAACAACTAATTTGGGGCTGAAAGGATGAACAGGAGTTGGATAGCAGGGCAGGACATTTGAGAGGAAGGGAACAGGGCCTTGACCTGGTAACAACCAGTCTGATGCGCTGGACCATAGCATAGGATTCCTTCTGAAAACTGGCAAGAGATGTCAGTTGGGACCATCTGTGAATGGCCTTGCTGTCATGGCACTGGAACTTTGCAGAGTGAGCCATGTGAGCTTTTTGCCTAGGTTTCCTTGTCTATAAGATAACAGGACCAGGTGCAGTGGCTCACGCCTGTAATCCCAGCACTTTGGGAGGCCGAGGTGGGCAGATCACGAGGTCAGGAGATCGAGACCATCCTGGCCAACATTGTGAAACCCCATCTCTACTAAAGATACAAAAAAAAAAAAAAAAAAAAAAAAAATTAGCCAGGTGTGGTGGCGGGCACCTGTAGTCCCAGTTATTCGGGAGGCTGAGGCAGGAGAATGACATGAACCCAAGAGGCGGAGCTTGCAGTGAGCCGAGATCACGCCACTGCACTCCAGCCTAGGCGACAGAATGAGACTCCGTCTCAAAAAAAAAAAAAAAAAAAGATAACTGGATTCTCCCAGTTTAGAGGACACACACTCAAGTGCCTGCCTGCACTTGACATCTAGCTTTGCTAGATGTCAGCCAGGTAACACCATGCCATGCCTCAGGATTAGTGCTGGCTGATATTTGGCCTCAGCCTTGGGAACCATGGGGACACTGGGACCATCTATTAGGGGCTGAATGGATACTAGCTGAAAATGTAGGTTCACTGTTTGCCTATTTTCTCATTTTATTTTATTATTTATTTATTTTGAGAAGGAGTCTTATTCTGTTGCCCAGGTTGGAGTGTAGTGGCACGATCTCGGCTCACTGCAACCTCCTCCTCCCAGGTCCAAGTGATCCTCCTGCCTCAGCACCACTAGTAACTAGTAGTAGCATGCACCACCACGCCCGGCTAATTTTCGAATTTTTAGTGGAGACAGGGTTTCACCATGTTGGCCAGGCTGGTCTCGAACTCCTGACCTCGTGATCTGCCCACCTTGGCCTCTCAAAGTGCTGGGATTGCAGACATGAGCCACCGTACCTGGCCTATTTTCTCATTTTAAAAAGAGATACTAGAGATCTGGATTTTTATGTGAAGTCTTCAAAATTTTAAAATGTTGGCATTTAATTACAATGTTAAAATGCCAACTAGGCTAATCCTTGGAAAACTCAAGAGGACAATGTTGATGGGTGCCAGTTGTGATCTCCAGACTGAATATCTCTAAGAATCTGTCCTGCTCCACCATTCTGTAACTCCCAGCCGCCTGTGAAATTGTAGGGAAAAGCACCCTGGGCTCCATTTAATTGTCAAGTTGACTAGACTTTTTTTGTTTAAGAATCAGGGCTGCTACTTAACTCTTGGTTGTAGGAATTTATATCCTATCAACAAAATTGGAATTGGTGGCTTTTTACAAATTTTCTGCTTCATCCACTCTCCAGCCACTACTCTGTCTCCCTCCTTCCTGCCCCTGAATTGATGTTGTAAGCAGCTGGCATCACCTTGGCAGTAGTATAGGAAACACTTTTTTAGGGCATCTGTATCCCATGGGAACTCTATCTGTTTATTTCCTTCACCTGGCATCTATCCACAGGAAGCCAGCATTCCTAACTCCCTTACCTTACAGCACTTCTTGTTTTGTGATAACACAGAAACATTTTATTGGAAAGGATTGGAAGGCACCTCTCCCACCACACCCTGCAATCTATCTTCTAGAGATGATTGAGCAATATGAAATATAATAATTAGAAGTCATTATCAAATGGGTTGGCTCCAGATTGAGAGAATCAGCAATTAACCTCTGCCTTTCATGTTTTATTTCTGGAGGTACCTGTCTCTTAACCGACCACTAACATCACACATAGCACATCCAGAATTTAGAAAGGATTTGCTCTGGGCACAGTAGGTAAGCACACAGATTCTACAGAGGGATTGAAGTGATTTATTTGTGACAAATTTTTGCAAGTCTTGAGGATTGAGTGTAAGGGAGTATTCAAGCAGTTGGACTTCTGTGAAATAAGACATAAGACATATTTACTGCTCAGTCTGATGCCTGGCACATAGTAAGTGCTTAATAAATTACAATTATTCCTACTGCCAAGCACCACCATTATCTTCACTTTCACTACAATTAACATAGAATGAGCTAGTCTTATTATCTAGAGAATACTTTCTATTCTTTAGAACTCTAGTTATAAAATCAATAAAATTCTTTGGTATATGGTATATAGATGATGTGATTAAAAGGATCCATCCAGCCAGGTATTCTGGCTGCACTGAGACACCAGTGACTATCTAAAAAACCACTCAAATGGTCTTACCCCTCATGGCACTGGGACTTTGCCTACAGGCAGTGGTGAGCCTTGTGAGATTTTGCTTTGGTTTCCTCATCTACAAGATGATAGGATTGCACCAGCTCAGGAGTGATGCACTCAAGTGCCCCAGGAATCAGAGAGGTAAAAAATGCCATGCCTGAGATTAAGTGCCAGCTGACACTTGGCCTTAGCACTGGGGAGACATAGGGATAGTTGGAAGCATCTGTGGGACCTGGGCTTTGCCTACCATTGGCTAAATAGTTAGTATACACAATCTCATCTAATCTTTATAAACAACTCTGTAGGGTATTTTATTTCCATTAAAAAGATGAGAAAATTGAAGCTTTGCTAGATGTCAGTAATTGGTACAAGGGGCCAGGGTTGTTAAGGTAGAGCAGAATATCTGTTTCAAAGACCATTCCTTTCAGGGGAGCATGGTATTTGTCCTTCATGAAATCTGCCTTAAAGTTCAGGAACTTGCCTGCAACTTCTTGACTTCCCCTTAACAACTGACTGAATCTGTCACTTAAATATTGTTCTAAATGTCTCTTTAGCTCATGTTTTCAGTAATTGTGGCCCACAGTTTCTTAATGAGAGTCTGGTAATAAACAAGTTAAACAATGAAAAAGAGTTCTCTCCGTAGGGCCCTTGCCTGAGCTTGTTTCTATTTCCTCTGGGAGGAAAAAAGAAAGAGATGTGTCAGAACAGAGGTGGAACTTCTCAGAGATTGAGAGATCCATCTACTGTAACTTAGTCATCACCATCAATTTTGTTACCTGAGGCAGGCAAAGCTGCCACCTCCCACAGCCTGTGGTTGTCCTCACAACAGAGTTACTAAGCACAGAGCCCTCCAGGCCCCTGTCAAGCACACCCAGCGTGTGCCTTAAGCAAGGTGTCCCTGAGTGTTGAATGTTGGGTGGGGTGGGGGGTGCCCAAGGTTATGGCAATAAAGAAAAAACATAGTGCCAGGTGCTTCTCTGAAATCATTTACCCCTTCTTTTGTAGTTAGGTTTTAGCTTTCAAAAGAAAAAAAAAACTTGTAAACACTTCATTCTAAAAAGACAAAGGCAATATGTATTGTATGCTTAAAATTTCCAAGGTTCTGGAAAATGTCTTTGGGAGAATTAGAAAGTGTAGACTATATGCTAAAGCATTGCAGACCCAGAAGATAGATGATTCAGTTCATTCTAATAAACATGACATGTATGGCTTGCTTCATGCTAGGCAGCAATGCAAAGAGGAATAATATATGAACTTTGCTTCATGGCTCTAGCTGCCCAGGGGAGAAGTAGATGCTTAAACAGATAATACAATACTGTGGATTACAGCTCTAGAAGCAGTGCAGCTTT